AAAATTTTTTTTTCTGAGACAGAGTCTCACTTGGTCACCCTGGATAGAGTGCCATGGCATCTAGCTCACAGCAGCCTCAAACTCTTGTGCTCAAGCGAACCTCTCGCCTTAGCCTCCTAAGTAACTCAAGACTATAGGGACTCACGACCATGCCTGGCTAGTTTTTCTATTTTTAGTAGAGATGGGGTCTTACTCTTGCTCAGACTGGTCTGGAACTCCTGAGCCCAAGCAATCTACCTGCCTTGGCCTCCCAGAGTGCTAGGATTACAGATGTGAGCCATGGAGCCTGGCCAGGAGATTTATTTTAAATATGAATACAGCTGGCTGGGCACGGTGGCTCATACCTGTAATCTTAGCATTTGGGGAGGCTGAGGCCAGTGGATTGCCTGAGGTCACAGGTTCAAGACCAGCCTGAGCAAGAGCAAGATACCATCTCTAAAAATAGCTGGGCATTGTGTCTCTAGAAATAGCTGGGCATTGTGGCAGGTGCCTGAATTCTCAGCTACTCAGGAGGCTGAGATGAGAATTCGCTTGCACCCAAGAGTTTTAGATTGCTGTGATCTAGGATGGTACGGCACTCTACAGAGGGCAACAAAGTGAGACTGTCTCAAAAAAATATTTTTTTAACAATAAAATAAATATAAATTCACAGATAGGTTAAAAATAAAAGAATAGGAAAGATATATCATACAAATACTAATCAATAGGGAATTGGAATAAATGTAAATTCACAGGTAGGTTAAAACTAAAAGAATAAGAAAGATATATCATACAAATACTAATCAAAAGGGAATTGGAATGCTATCATAATGTCTTATAAAGAGAGCTTTTATAACGATAGGCTGATTCATCAGAAAGACACAACAATCTTGGATGCACAGACACCTAGTAACTGAGCCTGAGTGCATGAGTCAGTGACCAGATCAAGTAGAGCAAGCTTTCCGGCTCCTTGCAGGGGGAAGGACCCATGGAGCCATTTCCTCATTCCAGTCCCGTTCCTCATTCCTGACTCCTTTGAGTCAGTGGCAAAGACAGAAGAGGACAAAGAAGAAGCCAGACTCCATGGCTCATTCTGTACTTGGCATTGAGACTATGTGGGCCCTCCTTGTGCCTCTGAGACAGTGGGCCCTGGGGCCCTCTGACCCTCAGACAGGAGCTCTTGCAAACAGTTCCTACAGGGTACTTCAGCCCCAGCTCTTCTTGCCATGAAGAGTGTTTTCTGACACCTGCCAAGCTCGCGTGGGATGTCACGCAGGACTTGGGGTCATGTTCACTGAGGTTGGAGAGGGCTGGTCCTGGAATGATGGGTGGGATGCATGTTGGTCACCAGGAACTCCAGGTGTCCTAAGACACAGGGGAAGGTGGCTGTATCTACCCTTAGGCTGGGCCTGCCTTTCAGATACTGAGAGGAGCTGAGTCAGCATCAGGTGGGGCAAGGGTAAGGGAGAGGGGAATTTTTAAGCAATGATGAAAAGTTGCTTGGAAGAGGAGGAGGTTCCCAGATAGGGTGCGCCTGGTTGGCAGGACATTCCCTTGTTTTCAGGCAGTCCCGTTTGCTCTGACAATCCACGTGGGCAATGATTTCTTTCCTTTTTCTTTTTATACTTGAAATAAAATTGTGGCAAAATACACGTGATAAAATTTACCATCTTAACCATTTTCAGGGGTACAGTTTAGTGGCAAGAACCTTTACCTTGTAGAACCATCCCCACCACCAGAACTCTTCATCTTCCTAAATTCTGCACCCATTAAACGATGACACCCTACTCCTCTTCCCTCCTTAGCTCCTAACACCCACTTTTCCCCTGCATTCTGGCTCTGTGAAGTTGAGTGTCCTATGTACCTCAAATAAGTGAACTCATATGGTTTTTGATGTTCTGTGGCTGGCTTGCTTCACTTAGCATAATGTTCTCAAGCCTCTTCCGTGTAGTAGCATGTGTCAAAATTGTCTTCCTTGTTTAGGCTGAATATTATTCTATTGTGTGTTTATATCCCATTATGTTTTTCCGTTCATGGAAGCTTGAATGGAAAGTTTCCATGAATGGAATGTGGATGGACACTCGGTTGCTGTCTACCTTTTAGCTGTTGTGAATAATGCTGGCTGAATGTGGTTGTACAGCAGTGATTTGTTTTTGTTTTGTTTTGTTTTGTTATGAGACAGAGTCTCACTTGGTTACTCTCAGTAGAGTGCAGTGGCATCATAGCTCACAGAAACCTCAAATTCTTGGGCTCAAGTGGTCCTCTTGCTCCGCCTCCCAAGTAGCTGGAACTACAGGTGCCTACCACAATGTCTGGCTAGCTTTAGAGATGGGGTCTTGCTCTTACTTAGCCTGGTCTCGAACTCCTGAACTCAAGCAATCCACCTGTCTCAGCCTCCCAGAGTGCTAGGATTACAGGCATGAGCCACTGGGCCTGGACCACTTTTTCTTTTGTTTTAAGGCAATGAGGTGAATATGAGGATAGGAATTTGTAGTTCGGGACATCTACATTTCACATTTCTAGAGACCTAGAATGAAAATAAGCATCTGGGGAAGTTTATCCTTGCAAATCTGCACTTTTGAAGGGACAGAGCCCCCAAGAACCTCTGGTGGTTGAGTTCTTTGGGCTTATTCCCATCCTTCTACCCAACCTTTGCCATATGTGGTCCCTAAGGCTACTGTCCAAGTGAAGGTATCATTTCTTGGCTCTGGCTATTGCGACAGGCAACTAACAGGTTGGCTGGACACCAAGGTGATTTTCCAGCAATCTCTTGCAACAACTTTGGAAATTTTGTTCCACAGGGCTTTCCAGAGTAAAGTGTTCCCCTTCTCCAGAATCGCTCATGGTTCCCCACAGCCCACAGAATACCCTGAAACTTTTAAGCTTGACTCTGGGGTCCCCATTGGCCTTCCTCACCTCCTGTCCCTCTCCTTCCCTCCATTCTCTCACTTAGCATTTACTTCCCCACATCCTGTATTTTTGTATTTGTTTCTGACATGCCCATCTGATACCGACTCACAGCACAAGAATGTTTATGATTAAAAGAATTTTACTTTGGGGGAGGGGTTCTCCTTAGGTCTTCATCAAAACCTGGTGAGGTAAATTGTTTCATCCCCAATTGACAAGTTGGGAAATTGAGATTCCAAAGTTCAGAGACATGGGTTTGTAATTACGGTCCATGGATCAAATTCAGAACCAGAGCCAGAGGGTTTCTCTATGATCCCTGGGGGGCTGGAGGTGGGAAGAATTGATGCCCAGGGGCTCAGAATCTGATTTCTCTACGTAGGTAACGGTGTAATCTTTCTGGGACTGAGTGTGGTTGAAGAATCATCAAGGGCCAGGATTTGTACCTGTTCCCTTAATGAAAGTCTAAGTATAAAATGAAGTGGTATAGCATTAAGTTGGCTGCTTTCTCCATTCTAAAGGATATTTAGTGAGAAGATAAGCCCATGTCAGAAGGCTTCCCACTTTACAGAGAACCCAGGAGCTAGGGAAAGCCTTAGCAAAATATGTTGAATTCATGCTGATAAATTCTGAATCCTCAGCTGGATGGGTCAGGAAGTTAGGGCACATGGGTGGATATAGACTCCTTCTTGCAGTGGGTAGCCCGCTGAAATGCTGGGCTGAAAGTAGTGGGACCAGAAACATCTGCAGAGGGTGTTGAGTAACTTGCTCAAGGTCACCCAGCTGACAAAAAGCTCAGCTGGACCTCACACAATTTAGGAGTCCAAATTCAGTGCTCCTAACACATCTGCCACTCAGAGCCCACCTCGTGCAGTAGAAAGGGTAGGTTTGCAACTTGGGCCAGGTTATCTAGCCTCACGGATCCCATGTGCAAAGTGGGCTGCCCTGGGGACTGGTGAGATAATTAGGAAAAGCAGTCACAGGGGCTGCAAAGAGGTGGTCATGAATGAAGCTGCTTCCTGGGGTGCTTCGGACTTGCCCCACATAGTCAAGAGTGGTTGATCCCGACCAATAGAGGCTATCATGATGGAGGTGCTGTCAGTAGAGGAGTGGAAAGGTCTGACTGGATATAAATGCCACACAACGGCAGTCGCCCTTTCTTTTCCTCCCGTTAGAGCATTTCCACTGGCCTGCAGTCTTGGGAGGGATATGGGGAATTTTTTCACTTCCCTTTCCCGGAAAGTACTTGCATGGCCTCACTGTCCAGTGACCCTATTTGCCATGGCATCTGTTACCCCATCTGTCAGCCCAGCCAGCATCCACCAGGGCTGGCTGGGCTGTACCCCTCACCCACCTCCAATGAAACCGACAGGCCTCCTTGAGAAAATAGCTTAGCCTGGTGCAAATTGGGAGACATCCTGCTCTTTTTCTCCAGGTAAGTTGGTCTTTTCCTCTGGCTCCCCCAGGGGAAGGCACTCACTTGTCTTTTCTTTCTCCTTTGGTGATATCTCAATCAGGAAGAAAGTTCTACCCTAGAGTTCCAGGAGGCCACTTGATTACATTGTTGGCTGATAACCCAATTGAACCCTGGAGCAGAAAGGTATGGTTTTGTGTTGTACTTAGGATTTAATGTGCACTGGCCCCACAAGGCTCAAGAGAAAAGCTCTGAAAGCCTGGTTCTGCAGAGCCCAAGCTGGGCATCACCCTAGAAGGCTTTGAGGTTTTCTCTCTTCCAACTTGCATGTTATTTTCTTATTTTATATATTTAAAAGGACTCCCTTTTGTGAGGCAGAACTTCAAAGGAAGCATTCCAGGCCACACTTCCTTTTGGTAAATCTTAACTAGTGTAAATGTTTACTTTTGTGTTGTAAAGCCTAGGCGGTGGGGAGGGGGAGAGAAGGAATGTCAGAAGCAGGTGTCCTGCCAGCAAAAGTTAAAACTTAATCTGCTGTTTTGGGTTTTTAGGGGGGTGGGGAGTGTTTATAATTAATGAGCCATGCTAATGAACCTGGAATTAGGCAGAACCTTTTTGCCAGGTTCTGCAAATTTCTGGACCCACTGGAAAGACAGAGCATTTGGGGAAACCTACCTTGCTGCTTTTCCTGTTGGGAGGTCAGTGCTTGAAAATGAGAAGAATGAGCAAAACCATAATTAAAAGAGTGGAAAGGTAAACAAAGGGGAAAGTGAAATGATGTAAAGCAGTATTGCTGAAACACTTTGGCTTTGGGCAAAAATGTAAACCCTAAAAAAGATTATAGAAAGAGGCATTGCCATTTCCCCGCTACCCTCACTCAGCTGCACCCCGTGTACCTTACCCAGGATGCTAACGTGTTAGACGCCCACCCAGGGACCCACACTCTCTAGGAAAACGACTTTTGCGTTTCAGTTAGCTACCTTAGAAACACTCTCTTGGGAAAAATCCTTGAAATCCAAGGGCATTCTCC